ACCTTGTACATGGCTCAAATCCATTTCTATTAAGTAACTCAACATGAAACCAGATACACTGAATATAATACAAGAAAACATGGGAAAGAGTATCAAACTCATTGATATGTAGGGAAATTTGCTAAACAGAATTCCAATGGCTCAGGATCTAAGACCAAGTATTGATAAATGGGATGTCATAAAACTGAAAAGCTTCTGTAAGATGAATGACATAGCCAATAGTACAAATTGGCATCCTACAAAAGACTGGGAAAAAAATTCACTAACCCTACATTCAATGGAGGCCTAATATCTAAAATATACAAAGAACTCAGGCAGCTAAACTCCAAAACACCAAACAATCCAATCAAAAAATGGAGTGTAGAGCTAAACAAAGAATTTACAACAGAGGAATCTCAAATAAAAGAGAAACACTTAAAGAAATGATCAAAGTCCTTAGTGATCAAGAAATGTAAATCAAAATGACCCTGAGATTCCTCCTTACACCAATTAGAATGGCTAAGATAAAAAACTCAGATGACAGCACATGTTGGGGTGTATGTGGAAAAAGAGAAACACTCCTCCATTACTGGTGGAACTGGAAACTGGTACAACCAATATGGAAATCAATCTGGAGATCCTCAGAAAATTGGAAATAGATTTACCTGAAGACCCAGCTATACTACTCTTGTTCAGATCCCGAAAAGACGCTCCACCATGCCACAGGGGCATGTGCTCCATTATGTTCACAGCAGCTTTACTGTGACAACCAGAAGTTGGAACCAACCCAGATGTCCCACAACAGAAGAATGGATACAGAAAATGTGATTCAATAGAATACTGTTCAGCTAATAATAATGACAGCATTAGTTTTGCAGGCAAATGGATGCAACTAGAAAATATTATCCTGAGTGAGGTAATGAAGATCCAAAGGAACATCCATGGTATGTACTCACTAATACAAGGATATTAGCAAAAAAAAAAAAATACAGACTATCCAGGATATAATCGACAGAACTCAAGAAGGTTAACAAGCCAAAGGGCTTAAGTGAGGATGCTTCAATCACACTTGGGAGAAAGAAAAAAGCAATCATGGGGGCAAAGGGAGGGAGAGACCTGCATAGAAGAGGGGAAGGGTAGTGAAAAGGGGGAACAGAATCAGGTATTAAGGGGTGAAATAAGAAAGAAGCCCTGAGGGCTATCAGAAGGAATTCATATATGCAGCCTTGGGGATGGAAGATTGGGGGACCCTCTAGAATGTATCTATCACCTGAGAGGTGACATATTCTCAAGACTTAAAGGGAGGGATCTTAGATAAAATGTTCAAGACTGGGAAGAGGACACTTGTAGAATCCACCTTGGATGGGCTTGCCATCCCACAGTCAAAAACTCTGACCCAGAATTGCTCCATTCTAAAAGAACTGCAGGGACAAAAATGGAGAAGAGATTGAGGGAAAGGAGGTCCCAGTGACCAGCCCAACTTGGGATCTAGCTCGAGAGAAGGCTCCAATGCCTGTCATTATTACTGATGGTATGCTGTGCTTACAGACAGGAGTCTAGCATGACTGTCCTTTGAGAGGCCCAACAAGCAGCTGACTGAGACAGATGTACATAATTACAGGCAAAAAGTGGAAGTCAGGAAGTGCATGCTGATAAGAGCCTGATATGGATGTCTCCTCAGAGGTCTTCAAGAGTCTGACATATTCAGAGGCAGATGCTCACAACTAGCCATTGAAGTGATCATGGGGTTCTCAATGGAGGAGTTAGAGTGAAGACTGAAGGAGCTGAAAGGATTTGTGGCCCCATGAGGAGAGCAACAATACCAACCAACCACAGCTCCCAGGGTCTAAACCACCAGCCTGGGAGCACTTATGGAGGGATCCAGGGCCTTAGCTGAATATATAAGAGTGGAGGGCCCTGCTGGGCACAGGTGGAAGATGAGATCCTTGACCTCATGAAGGCTGGACGCCCCAGGGGGTGGGAGTTTTGAGGGTGGGGAGGTGGGAGTGGGGGGGTAGATAGAGGTTACATCCACAAAGAAGAAGGAGGAGGTGTGAGGGGATTGGGGGTTCCTGGGTGGGTGGGGGATGGGGTAAGGGGACAACATATGAAATGTAAATAAAACATCCAATAAAAAAATTAAAAAAAAAAAAGAATGAAAAAAAAATGGAATGAAGTTGGAGACACCTGTGGTTAAAATTAAGGAAAGTATGGAAGAAGCTGAGTAGGAGGGCAACCCCATAGTAAGACCAGCAGTCTTAATTAACCTGGACCCCTGAGATATCTCATAAATTGAGCCACCAACCAGGCAGCATACACTAGCTAGAATGAGGATCCTAACACATATATAACAGAGGAATACCTTGTCTGGCATCAGTGAGAGAAGATGCATATAACCCTCAAGAAACTTGAGGTCCCAGAGTGTGGGTATGCCAGGTGGTAGGTGTGGTGGGGGGTTGGGAGATTGGGGGATTGGGGACATCCTCTTGGAGATAGGAGAAGGAATGTGATGAGGAACTGTGGGAGGGTAGACTGGGAGAGGGATAACTACAGGACTGTAAAATAAAAAGTTAATAATAAACAATAAATAAAAATTAAAAATTAAAAAAAGAAAGAAAGTGCCCTGCAACCAGATCTTATGGAGGCATTTTCTGAATTGAGGGTCTCCGCCCCCATTAAGATAACTTGTGACAAGTTGACATAAACTATTATATTATATAATATTATATAGCACAATTACATTATGGGGTATGGGTCACGGCATGTGAATGTAGGTCCAAAGGAACTTTGTAAGGATTCCTCCCTCCTTTTGGCTTTATGCATGATATGAAGGAACTCATTACATCTGGCTTGCAAAGCAGGTGCCAGTATTTGCTGTGACAGCTATTGATTGACCTTTAAAATTTGCTTCCACCCTGGCCTCAACAACCCATGGTGTAGCATTTTCCTGTAAAGAAGCAGAATTTGTCTTCAGGCTTTTATTTTCATCAAACTTCTTGATCTTACAGGGATATTTACATATTCTGTAGTTTTTGTACTTTGTGTGACTTAAGGTCATGGTATAAACCTATTGTTTTGTCTCATTTCCTTTTTCAATCAAATCTTGAGCTAGAGAGGAGACTGAGTAAGTAAAGATAGTGTCACCAAACCTGAGGACCTAAGTTCAATCTTGGCATCAACATGATGGAAGGCAAGAAACAGCTACCAAATTTATCTGACCTCCACATATGTACCACAATGATTAGTGTAACTTAAAAATATTTCTAATATTTCAAATACATAGAATGACTAAAAATTATAAAATACAATTGCAGTTATGTCAAATATTCTAAACAAGAGATAAAATCCAGATGAAACTAGGAGTCTTTATCATTCCTTCAAGTCTGACTCCAAAGTTTATTATTACATTCTACTCAGGGGTATAAAAGTCCAATCTAACTCTTATTCTCTTATTTTGTAATATTGCATATCTGTAGTCCATGGTGACAGAGAAACGACAAGGAAAAGCAGTGCTCTCCTGTTGGTAAATGACTGGAGAAACTAAGAATGATCCTGCTTACATCATCAGATTCCTACTTACACCATCACAACTCAGTTCTGGCTCTAGAACAAGCGCTGGATAGCAAAGCACACCTGAAAACTGAGATACTAACTTAAAATCCTATCTAATGGAGACAGTAGTGTTCTTAAAGAGGATATAAAGAATTTACTAAAAGAAATACAGAAAAACACAGGTAAACAGGTAGAAGCCCTTAAAGAGGAAACAAAAATACCTTAAAGAATTGCAAGAAAACACAACCAAACAGGTAAAGGAATTAAACAAAACCATCCAGGATCTAAAAATGGAAGCAGAAACAATAAAAAAAAAACTCAAAGGGAGACTACCCTGGAGATAGAAAACCTAGGAAAGAGATCAGGAGTCATAGATGCAAGCATCAACAACAGAATACAAAAGATAGAAGAGAGAATCTCAGGTGCAGAGGATACCATGAAAAACATTGACACAACTTTCAAAGAAAATGCAAAGTGCAAAAAGCTCCTAACCCAAAACATCCAGGAAATCCAGGTCACAATGAGAAGGCCAAACCTAAGGATAATAGATATAGATGAGAGTGAAGATTCCCAACTTAAAGGGGCAGTAAATATCTTCAACAAAATTATAGAGGATAACTTCCCTAACCTAAAGAAAGAGATGTCCATGAATATACAAGAAGCATACAGAACTCCAAATAGACTAGACCAGAAAAGAATTACCTCCTGTCACATAATAATCAAAACATCAAATATACAAAAGAAAGAAAAAATACTAAAAGCAGTAAGGGAAAAAGGTAAAGTAACAAATAAAGGCAGACCTATAAGGATTACACCAGACTTCTCACCACAGACTATAAAAGACAGAAGATCCTGGACTGGTATCATACATACCCTAAGAGAACACAAATGGCAGCCCAGACTACTATACCCAGCAAAACTCTCAATCACTATAGATCGAGAAACCAAGATATTCCATGACTAAACCAAGTTTAGACAATATCTTTCGACAAATCCAGCACTACAAAGGATAATTGATAGAAAACTCCAACACAAGGAGGGAAACTATAACCTAGAAAAAGCAAGGAAGTAATCTTCCAACAACCCCAAAAGAGGATAGTTACACAAAAATAATTCCACCTCTAATGACAAAACTAACAGGGAGCAACAATCATTTTTCCTTAATATCTCTTAATATCAATGGACTCAATTCTCTAATAAAAAGGCGTAGACTATCAGACTGGATACATAAATAGGATCCGGCTGAACAGTGGTGGTGCACACCTTTAATCCCAGCACCTGAGAGGCAGAGACAGGCAAATTTCTGAGTTCGAGGCCAGCCTGGTCTACACAGTGGGTTCCAGGACAGCCAGGGCTATACAGAAAAACCCTGTCTTGAAAAACCAAAAAGAAAAAAAAAGTCACATAGACAGGATCCAGAATTATCTTCCCACATAAAATTGCAGCATCCCCCTCATTC